TCTTTGCATTTGTTTCCATTCACACGCAGTTTGTGTTTTGGGGTTTTTGGTTTTAAACGTGGCTTCTGTGTTTTCTGTATCTGCATTCATGTGATGGGACTGAACTGACTTTTCCCAGGAAACATACTGTGACAATCTGGGAAAGTGCTCAGTAAGCAGCATATTGTCATCAGCAGGTAAATTATGAAGTGCGAGAGAGACATGTAAATCAATGAGTGAAGCAGCTTATGAAACAGGATTTCATAACAGACCTACATTGATGGTCTCATTTTGTGTAACCCTGGTATCTGTGAAATGGAGAATTCTGAGTAATAGTTGATTAAAGAATGTTACTGGACGGAGTGTCCAGATAAATGAAGCACAATAATATTATAAGTATGTATAAAAACTGGCACAAGAACATGTTACTTGAACCTTAATCCTCTCTCTAGCAATTCACTAATTATGTTAATGAAATAATCTGTGACAAAAACAGCAATTTTAATAGAAAAGAAAAAAGAAAATCCCTCATCCTCAGGTTTCCATGGCTACAATGACATCACCACTCAAGCCACAAAGCTTTGGCTTCTGAATAAGTGTAATATAAAGAATCTCCGCTTCCAAGCTGGATTGGATACTGGCTACCAGCTGTTGCCAGGCAACCTTAAAGCACAGCACGGTGCAATAACGTGATATGGATTAGAATTATTCTTGGCAATGCTATATGAATTAAGTTATCGCAGATAAGGAAATCACACCTTGTAAACCTGGAAACAATGTATGTGAATAAAGTAATAGATGCCATCCTTTATCATAAGAGGTGTGAATTTTGGTCTGTAGGAGAGAAACCGGAATTGTGACAAACTGCTGCCATCACTGACCTAAATACCTTACGTGTCAGTGCCCTGATCTATTTGGAAGGCAGTGCTAAAATGGGTTAGTTTGAGGGGCGGGCAATAGTGTCATTTATATCAACATTTTATTTTAACGTTTTCTGTATTCTAGGTGTCTATGTCTGCGCATTTCTAACTATCAAAAATCATTCCTGACATTACACTTTATTTTTTCTTCTTCAGCTGGACTCCAAATTGTTGATGGACAAATAAAAAGGGTGCAGTGCCAAGTATCTGAGATCTGATGCTTTACAGTCCTAACCAATAAAAACACTAAATGCAACAGATCAATCACTGGATTTGTTCTATGATTATATATGCTGATACATTTTAGTGACTCAGAAGTTGCTTCTCTGAGTGATGTGCAGGTCAGGCACACTTATCATTCTTAGGTTGTTTTGGAATCAAGACAAGGAGCCTGTGTTCAGTTTGGCTCTGAAAGACACAGTTGGATGTTTTTTTTTCTCTCCTGCCAAGCATAGCTTTGCTGAAGAAGAACAGAATGGAAAAAATGATTCTCAGATACCAGGAAACAATAAACTTAGAAAGGGAAGGATCAGTATATTTAATGGTTTAGTCATTAAAGTCAGCTGAGTGACTCTAATGGTATGTTTTTTTCAGGTGTAGATTGCATGAAGACATTTTCCAAATAGAACTCTAAATCTTCTTTCAAATAAGCTTTGTTCTGCAAAAATGTAATTGTGCTCTATGCAGACATTATCTGTATCTCCTACATCATGCAATTGAAAACAAGATGAAAATTGTGCCTTGTAAGGGACCACAGCTAAGCTTTGCACCTTTTTCTGCTCTTAAAATCAAGAAAGCAGATACGTTGGTGATTACATTTGCAGTCTGTATCTTGGAAAGTGTTGAGATTTCCATGGTATTGAACTTTTGAGGTGGAGTTACTTTCATCATTTCCAAAGAGTTTCAGCTTTCTAAAATTCCTTGCTTTCAACACAAATTTTAGTGCACACAGGCATTTCCTTTAACTCTAAATTAAACACTTGCATCCAACACACATGGTGTGAAATTAATGTTTGTCACACATGAATGCAGAATTGGATATCTGGTGAAAGCACACAGTCCCTTCCAAATGAACTGGGACAACAACGTCAAGTTTAGTGTGACTAATAATTAGAATTATTAACTTTCATCTTTCAAATTAATTTGAAAGTAATATTACTAAATTGGAAGGCAGTAGAAACTGCCTTTAGTGACAATGACAGCTTACTGTACTGATACAACATGCTTGCCTTGAAAAGTTTACCTACTCTTTAACAAATAAAAAGTAATGAATTTCAGTGTGATTGGAAGACATTTTACACTTATTTTCACTCGGAAGGGTGTTGATCTACTTCCTTCAACACTTTAAATGATACTTTTTAGCAGGTAATTCCATTTTGCGTAATTCAAGATGGGCTGCAGCCACTGCTACTTTCAGTTTTTGCCTATTTTTGGGGTGTTCTCACTTCACTTTTTTTGTTCAGCATGTAAAACACATAATGTTCAATTGCATTTAAATTAAGTCTAAGAATTTCCATTTTTTTTTCTCGTGATGAACTACTTGGTTTTGTTGGAATTATTGGCACCCCTTGATAAATATGAAGAAAAAAGTAATAATAAAAAAAACCACATAGTAATGACAGATATTTAATACTCATACAGTATGTTAGGGGAATACTTGTCCTTTTTTTACAAAACTATTTTTTTTTCATTTCAGGGTTCAATTGTAAAGAAGTAATGCTGTTTTACCTAAAAAACCTAGGTGCAAAATTATTGGGACCCTTCAAGAGCCTTTCAAATACAGTCAAACACATCTGAAAAAAATAGATTTATAAAAAAAGATTTATACTTGTTTGTTCAATTTTGTCTTAAGGAACTAATGTGTGTACTTAAGTGACTTCCTGTTTCCGTAGGGGATTAAAATGACGAAACATGCACAGAAAACCTTTTGTCATCCATCAGCATAGGGAAGGTCAAAGAATTAACAACTGAAATGAAGCAGTCATTTTCAATCGAACATTATTTACAAAGTAAATAATGGGTACAAAAAATAAGTAAAACCTTAACATTACCAAAATTGACTGTCAGAGCAATAATGAAAAAATTCAATACCACTGGAATAGTTAATTTCCCAGGAAGAGGACGCAAGCCCATCTTGTTCCCATGCACATTGAGAAGGATGGTGAGGGTGGCAAAAAAGATCCAAAGGTTTTAGTTAAAGAAATACTAGGATTTGTTGCAAAAAGGATTAGTAGACAACACCTCCATGCCAACAAGTTACTTGGAAGGGAGGAACAGATTGAAGCACTTGGAGTTTGCCCAACTCTATTGGCACCTGGACTGTGAGCAGGTGCTGTGGTCAGATGAGACCAGAATTGAACTTTTTGGCTACAGTCATCACTGGTATGTTTGGCGGAAGAAGAGGGATGCATTTACCAAAAAGATTGTCATACCTACTGTAAAATATGGTGGGGGATCTTTGATGATTTGGAGCTCCTTTGCTCCCAGTGGTCCTGGGGCCCTTGTTAAGATTAATGACATCATGGATTCTCAAGAATACCAGGATATTTTGACCAAACACTTGGTTGCCTCTACCAGGAGGCTGCATCTTGGCTGAAGATGGGTCTTTCAACATGACAATGATCCAAAACGCACTTCAAAATCAACAAAGAAATGGTTGACAGAAAAGATCATCAGCTTTTTGCCATGGCCATCTCAGTTCCCTGACTTGAACCCTATTGAACCCCTGTGGTCTGAGCTGTAGAGGGCTGTCCATAAGCACACACCTACAAACTTCAAAGATCTAGAAAGGTTCTGCATGGAGGAATGGTTGTAAGATCCCTCTTTGATCCCCTGATGAGCTCGAGTGCACCTTCACCAAATTCCATTCCACATTCCACAAGTGGAAGGAGCTCATCAGGGCCATCTCAAACGACATCAGGCCAGGCCTATCAACCTCGTTAAGGGGACATCATTGACTATTTAAGCCCTGAGGAATCACTCCTTAGGGCTCAAATATTGAGTCACAGTACCATGTGGAGTGTCAGGTTTTTCCAGATTTTTCCTTGGCTTCTCCCAGGACACTCCCAGAGCTCCTCCTAGAAAACGCCTCCAAGAACCCTCCCAGACCTCCTCCATTCTGATTCCCCCTATAATTCCATTGATTTTTCAAATTAACTCATTTAAACTTCTCCGCTGAACCTACTCTGGCAGTTATTAATTTGCTGTGCCCTATTTTCCATTCACGGGCACGGCATAACACCCTCCCAATATGTTCATCATCCTGATGAAGCATTACAGGAAAAGACTTACTGCCCTTATCCTTACCAAGGGAGGCTCCACCAAGTACTAAAAACAGGAGTGCCAATAATTCTGTTTCTTTTATTTTGGGGGAAACTAATTTAAAATATAATAGTTTTTTTTTTGTCTTGGTAGGTTCCATTGAATCATTCATTCAGGAAAATTAATTCCTTATGTTGTTAATATATTTTAGTATTTAATGAACTAATTATTTGTTTTAACTTTTTTTTCTTCATATTTATCAAGGGGCACCAATAATTCCAATGTCCACTGTATTGTGGGTTGTTTTGACGCTCCATGGTGAAGCACTGCCTGATAAATCTGGAAACATTTTGTTTTACAGAAATATTTTGTCTGTTTTTGTAGCACAAAGTGCTTCCATATTTATTGGGTGGAGCTTCATCATGTGGCATACTTCATATTCATAATATACAGTGATATAGCATTATAACTGGGTATGAAACTGTTGTAAAAGTCCTCTTTCATAAAAAAGAACAAATGTTGAGTTATTGAAACCACAGTGGTTTTACTATTAGGATTTATGTCCTTTGTACAACTACAATACAGTCTAGGGTTTTTTCAGCATAAGTAAGGATCTGAGAAGTATGTAAGTGTGATATAATTCACACAGTTATTACAACACATGGTAACTCAGCAAAAAGCAAGTTTTGTGAACAAGCAGCACCCCAGTTTTTCAGTGAATGTTAAAATACCACTTATCCTTCTAATGTAGGTTCAGTTTTATTCCTGATAAAGCTTTTCTTTATGCTTCTGTGAAACATCATTAAAAAAAGACACTGACTGAACCTGCTCTTTTTTCAGATTTATGAACAACAGAGTTCCGTCCAACAAGAGATATCAGCCGACAGAGTATGAACACGCCGCTAACTGTGCCACACATGCGGTGAGTCAGACCTTGCTGTAAACTTGGATTGCTGCTTTGCTCCATAGTCTCATCAAATTTGTGCCAAAGAGGTTTCTAAATATCCTATGTACTATAAGCAGTGGGGTTGGAAATTGAAGATAACCCTTTGTTAAACTGATGCAGCTCCCAGCTCAATAACAAGCAGCGTGTTTGTTGATAATTTTTTTAGGAAATTCAAAAAATTAAAATATTTTTAAAATTAAAATAAAGTAACAAGTCTGGTAAATTTGATCAAGTTAGTGATACATCGCTATGCTGCGCACAGACTCTTTCTTATCAAACAGGTAGCACTGCTCAGCTGATAACTTGGCCTCCTTAAAGCCAGTGATTGTGAGCAGTATTGAATCAGCTTAGCTACAGTATGGTTTACAGAATAGGAGATATCACTACAAATTATTGTTGCATAATGACGAGGTAGTAGTCGATTTAAGTTTAGCATAGGTTTAACAATTATACTTTGATTACTCTCAAATTACGGGCCACTTTACCTGTCCTGTCTTAAGGTGATCTCACATTGTGGGCCCAGATAGTGACCCTAGCCAAACGTCCTGACTTCCACACACTTTTTCAAGAGGCCTAAAAGTTTGTTGTGATTATAATAAATAAAAAGGCAAACAAAATCTTAAGACACAAAATCTTAAGATAACATGCAGTTATGTAATCAAAAGTGTAGAATAAAGTTGTTTAATGAATTAGGAAGACCTTGTTTAGAGTATTTATTCCAATTTGGTTCACCATGTTTCAAAAGAAATTGCTGCTCTGGAGTTAGAATGTAATTATACTGTACTGTATGTCTTATACTCACAGGCTGAATAAATTGAATGTTTTTAGTCTTGAACAGCAAAGATTACAAGGGACCTGATACAAATATTCAAAACCTTCAAAGATGTTGAAAAAGGCAAGACAATGCATTCTTCAGAATGAACTGTAAAACACAAACCATAGCACGCAAATGGAAACTATGTGCAAGTGCATTTAAAACTGAGAATAGGAGGCACTTTGTTATACAAAGGGTTGTGGGAGTATAGTGTAAGCTTCCAAGCCATGTTGTTTGAAAATGAATACAAAGCAAATGAGGAAAACAATAGTTATTTTTATTATCATTTTTTAAATTTCAGTTTTACTTTGTTAATCTTAATGTTTAACAGTGTTAATTTAGCTAGAGATATTACTTAATAATAGGATTAATATTTATATTTGAATACTGTTTTAAAAATAAATCCAAATGTATGATTAAATGTATAGTCTTTTAAAGGAAGATACAAAAAGGAAACAGACCTAATAACAAATAACAAACAAGAAGGTTATTACTGGCTTTATAGAAAATCCACAAGAACAGTAGGAAGTATGGGAGTGAGGCTTGGGAGCCATTGGGACTTCATTGATTGTAACAGACTCCTCTTGACAGGAAAAAAATACATTATTATAGAAATCTGGAGGCTTCCTGGGGAGAAAAACAGTCCAATGTAAATTTCCCAAAAATAAACAGGAGTAGTCTGCCAGCTGGTATTGCTGCCTCACTATTCCTGGGTCTTGGGTTCGACGATTCTGGCCCGGTTCATCTTCTGTGTGGAGTACGCAGGGTTTCACATGAGTTTGGTCCAGGTGCTACACTTTCCTTCCAGTCAAAAGTTGTGATGTGTGATGTGTGGGTTAACTGACATCTCTAAATTGTCTGTCTGTTTGTGTGTGTGTGTGTGTGTGTGTGTGTGTGTGTGTGTGTGTGTGTGTGTGTGTGTGTGTGCCTGCAAAATATTGGCATCCTGTCTGGTCCTTTGTAGCATCCACTGTCAATACATTCAACAGTCTATCCTTCAAGTAGAATTCTAACAGATATACTATATTCAATTGCCCAGTGATCCTATAACCTGTAATTGTGAAGACAGTTGGGTATTGCCTGCACATCCTGTAGCACCTTTCTTCAGTTCCATGAATCCAACACCAGGATGTTCATGAAGATAGAGGAAAGGAAGACCCCTATGTAACTGTAAAGTATTTCTTTCTGGGTTTTTCTTTCTGATTTAATATTAGCATAATCATGAGTGTCCCTTCAAGAAAAAATGTGTTTCGAGTAGCACAAGACAGGATACATTGCTGAATCCAGACTCACACTCTTAACCAGATTCATTTGAAAAACAACTGAAGCTGGGTTTCAGAATATAAAAAAGAAATGCACCACCTTTTTTAACATTATAATACCTCTAATCAGTAGAATGAAGCTAGGTTATTAACTTCATCCTTATAGAACAAGCTACCCAACCATACAGCCGAAGCCTGTAACCTGGCTTCCTTCAAGAAATGGCTGGATAAGATCCTTGGATCCATAAACTGCTAACTACAAATGGGCCAAAAAGCCTCTTCGCATTTGAATCCTTTCAAGAGGTGAGTTACTAAAGAGCAGCTATTCTTTATTTTCTGTTTATGGGTTTTGCCATTACTTTAACTGAGGATCGTGGTAAATTAAAGAATCATAAAATGTTGAGACCAGATCCGACAGACAAGTTATGGCTCCTGCAGTTTATTTTAAAAAATATTTTTTTTCCAGCACGAGAGGTCTGTACATAAAGATAACACATTGTGTAGCAAATTGATATTTTATTGGAATTGTGTAGTGGCAGGTGAAGGGAACACCACTCAGGGAGTTTCACTTTTAATCTGAACTCATTTTAACCTCAGACCCCATCTGCCTTTGTTAAGGTATGCTTTTTTTCAAAGGCAAAACCAGTCGCCTGATGTTTTAGAGCAGCTTTACTGCTGTGAATGTGTAAAGGGTGTGAGTTGATTTGAAGAAGATAGAATGAGGTGGGTGGTTTAGAAACAGCTGGTACACATCACTGCTTTTGCTTCTAAAATTAATTTCCAAGGGGGTTAAATTCAGGGGACTCATACTGTATCTCACTATCATTGTTTTGTGTTGCATCCCTATAGATTTGTGTAAGACGTAGATTCTTTTTCATTTTTGTCTCTACTAAGTACCCCCCCCCCCGGGGTCAATTTATGGATCACTGAAATAATCTGATAATTTCACCAGGGAAAGGTTTATAGTATACAGGTTTAATCTAAAACTTAATTCTTCAGTTGTACGTAAGAATGATGATATATTGTATAATAATTTAAATACAGAATCTTTGTATATGAGTTTTTTTTACCTTCATACCTACCTTGTTGTCTCAAAACAAGCCAATATTTTAGATAACTTTTTTGTATATGAAAGAAACACCTAATGACTTTTAATATAACATTCCATATTAAAGGTTAAATACTTTGTTTCATGCCTGGGATGTTGTCAATGAATATACATTGTTTTTCACAAGGATTATAACCTGTGCAATTGACTGACAGTTGATTTATTTTCTGGTAAATTGAATTGCTTGAATGTTTTATTCTTAACCACATGTATTTTTACAAACCAAACATTTCTGAAGTTCTTATAAAATAAAATCACAATTTGAAATATTCAGGTTCCATATTGAAAACCAGTATTTTCTATATGTTTTTTGAATGCATTAGTGGAACCATCTTAATTAGAGCAATAGAAACTTCTTTAGCAGTGTTTTGTCTGTGCAGTTGATTGTTAACATAATGTTATGTAAACGTGGGAGATAGTTTTCATTTTTTTCTTTTTGCATTCCTGGCTCCTTTGGGCAAACTGCACAAAGCTAACAGAAGGAGTATTTGTATTAAACCAGAAGCAGAGGTTAGATAAAAGATTCTTTTTCCTTTTTCCAGCTCTGGATAATTCCAAGCATTCTCGGCAGCTCCATTCTCTACTTCCTGTCTGATGACCAATGGGAGACCATTTCAGCATGGATCTACGGATTTGGGCTTTCTGGTCTTTTCATTGTGTCCACTGTATTCCACACCATCTCCTGGAAGAAGAGCCACCTCCGGTAGGAATACTGATCAGTGATTGAGGCGGAGATCATAGACAAGGCCTTTAAAAAAGGTCTACAACATTATCCTAGGTCCATAATTTTAACACAATAGATATTGAATGAGCTGTATGCATGAGTTACGTGACTCATTCTTTGGTTTATTTGAAGACAAACACACAGTGAAAGCCTTGGTTAAGAGCTCCTGATAAAGACTTTTATGAAAATGTTGAGGTTTAGCAGTGCCTGGATTCTGTGAAATCATATGAATAGAGTTTAATAACTTGTGTAGTGCTTTTAATATTTAATAAGATGCAGTAAACTGTTACTGGTGATTCACTGTTACTGGTGATGTCTTTGTGAACTAGAGAATGTGATATGGTCACTTGAAGTGGGTTGTTATTAGGGTTAATTTTATTAACCTATTGTCAAGCCATATTTCACTCATAACAGTCTCATAACCGTAAGCCAGCTTAGTGAGCCAATTCATATATTATTAGGAGATGTCATACCAGAGAAGAAACATTTCTGTGTCTATTGTCTGTTTATTGTAGCCAAAAATTACTCGGCATATGTTACTGTTCTTAACAACTTTCTATTGAGGTTTGGTAATGATATGTAGATCTGCCAAATGGGGCCAAGCATCTGACCAAATAAAGCAGTAGTGTAAAAACATTTTATTTACACACGAGGAGGGCTGAGAATGCACAAACTAAATCAACTTGTATTTCTAAACTATGGGGCCATGTATTAAGTACAACAGGATGAAAGTCACAGTTCATGGTATGGCCCTTTCAGACACATACACCAGAGCCAGTTTTCCCAGAAGCCAATTAGCTGTGGGGGAAAACTGCTGCACCCCTAGGAAATCCATGCAAACACAGATAGAACATATAGACTCTACGCAGAGAGCACTCCAGGTTCAGAACTGAGCCCAGGGCATGTACAAAGGAAGGCAGCAATGTTAATCACTGCATCACCATGCCGCCACTTAACCTCACCCATTTCTATCTACATCCAGTTACCTTGTCCACCAATGCAAGTACTGTAGTATAAACCTTCACTTCTCCTCCCTCTCTCTTCCCCATTACCACCCCTGCAGCAGCAACCTTGGCTCATTCCTTCAAGCAGGAGGGTTCCATTAGCCAATTGTTTCCTCAGTCATGCACTTCAGACCTGTACCAAATTACCTCTTCATTAGCCACGTGAAGTCTTTTAAGTGGAAACCCTGTGGTCTGGAAGAGTGGTCTGTGGTCTGGAAAGCTTGTTATTGCCAGCTTGTCACAACAGAATACTGAAGACAAAATACAGTCTCCATTCTAATGGTCAGAATCTATAATGCAATTATAGGGAAAGGTTTTCCTTTTCTGATGAAGTGCTGTGTGAGAGACGTATGTCAGCGCCAGCAAATATTAATAAATGTAACTCTTTGTGGATGAAATACATCATTACCTCTTCCCTTGAAGAAAGGTTCCATACGAAATTGTTAAAAACCTAACTCAGTTTGGTCAAAATATGGTTGACCAGTTTTTAGATTTGTATTATAAAAATAACTTTTTTCAGTGACCAATCTAGAGGTTAATAATAGAGCTGGTGTACAAGCCCCTTCGATGTGTAGTATTTCTATTAGATGTAGATGAGGCAGTGGAGGTGAGAACCGTGAGCGCTAAGGGAAACACAGGCAAGAATCTGTTATTTCTCAGAAAACTCCACCCATTTCAAGTGAGGTATTCAGTCTGAAATGAGTGTGTATATTACTGCACGGGAAAGTAAACAGGATGTTGAATAGTGTGGCATTTGTAAACTAATAGGAAATTGGATTTTGTAACTGTGTAATTTCTAAATTAGATTGTGAAATTCTTGCAGTTAGTAATGCAAATGTAACATAAAAACAGGATTTTTTTTGTTATAAAAATATATTTTCTAACCAGCTCTGCCATGTGATAAGTATATTTTAACTGGATGTTCATTTTACAGGAAAAAGCACAAAATCCCAGCTGGCTTTTCTCATTTTATGAATGCGGTTGTTTGTGTCTATGACTCTACTGTTAGAGCATATAAATGCCCTGCCTCATTAAGAACATTTCTTTCCCCTGGGATGAATTTGCACATTTGCTTGGGAATTCATGAAGTTTGACCTGAAGTGCAATTAAAGTAATTTTCTTTTTAAGAGAAAATGTCTTTCAATATTAAAGAAGCTGATTTAAAATAATACAGGAGGATTCCATCATCTTTCCATTTGCCAGGTTATTTTAAATTGCATATTTTTGTTTCTGTCATTTTGTAAAATAGGTTGTATATTAAGTGTAAGGACAACTATCAAACATTTTTTTCAAAGCACATTATTAACAGAAAAGCATCCACTTCACCCACATCTGTAGTGCAACACCCATCTGGGTCAGGCAACCCAGCCCTCCCGCACCTCAAAGATCAAGCAGAGAAGTGAGAAACTGTTTCACCAATTGAATTAAGGCATAACAAAAAGAAGGTCAGACTGCATCAGAGCAGACTGTACCTTAACCAGAATGGTTAACTCTAATTGTTCATTTAAACAACAGCAACTACAAAAGCACAGTGTCTCCATTTACCATACCGGAACACTGTTTTGGAAATTGTGGTCCAAAAGCGAAGAGTGTCAACTACTTGTCCACAAACACCACTTGCGTCAGCAACCTGTTTGCCAACTGTGTTCTCCCACCCCAATACCGAACACGCTGTTTGTATGTACAAAACAGTAGAAAAGACAAACAGCCTTGCTTTAAGTTTAATGTATTCAACAGTACTAGCGGAGATCTGTGGAAGTGAATGAGCTAATTTTTAGTTGAGGAGGTTTATTACAATTATACCACACTTAACATTTTACTGTAACAAATTAAACCAAAGTACTAAAAAACATCATTAAGCTTGCAGAAAAAATATTAGCTTATCATAGTACATATATTAAAGCCAGGAAACGTTAAAATGAGAACTGTAAAAGAACTGTAAAAGTGAGAGTTAAATTTGTAGAGTTAATAGAGGATTTATAATATACTATGAAAAAGATGTAATAAACATGCAAAATAAATACTTCACATAGGTTCTTAGAATAGACAGTGTCAATAACATGGCCCACGCTTTGGAACAAGCAGTACTGGGTAATGTTAGAACAGCTGACACAGAGATTCTACAGTGGCTAAGATACTTAAAAAAATAAATTACCTGGTTCTAATGTTTTTTTTCTTGGTAAGAATTAAGAACGTACAGTAGGAGGATGCTATTCATAGACCCCTAGCTAAGCTATTTTAACCCTCACAGAGAATATGATCAGTCAGTCTTATGTCTGTTACTAGTAAAGTTTTGGAAATGCTAGTTAAATTGTGGATGGCACTGTACTTGAACTTCAGTCTAAATTGAAAAACCTGGGGGTGATATTTCATTCAGGCTTGACATTCGACCCACATGTGCAACATCTTTCTTCTTGGAAATATCGCTAGACTACATACTATGTTATTGCTAACTGTGTCTGAAAAGCTGATCAACACATTTGTTTTCTCCTGAATTTACTACTGTAAAGCACTACTCGCTGGGGTTTCTAAATCCACATTGAACAAACTCCAGTATGTCCACAATTTGGCAGCTAGAATACTGACCAGGTCTAGTGCAAGTGAACACCTTACTCCTATCCTGGAGTCCTTGCACTAGCTTCCTGTCAAGTTTCATGTTGGTTTCAAAATCCTCATACTCACCTACAGGCTCTGCATGGCTTGGCACCCCAGTACCTGTCTGAGCTACTATCATCCTACTCCCCACCTTGGAACCTTTGCTTTTCTAGTTCTGGTCTCCTGTCTGTCCTCCAAGCTCGTCTACATTGTATGGGTGGCAGGGCCTTCTCCTGTTATTCCCTTAAGCTTTAGAACTTTTTCCCCTAGGATATCAAGAGTTACCTTCTCTAAACACCTTCAAATCTAGGCTCAAGATCTTCTTCTTTAGAAGAGCCTTTACTTAACTGGTTCTGTTCTTTACTCCTCTGCTCCTACTGCATTCAGTACCCCCATCTACTGTCTTCTCTCACTGTGTTCTCATTGTGCATATCTTGTGTGTTTTTTTAAAGTTATTGTTGTCATTTCTGTAAAGCACTTTGAGAACCCAGCTTTAAAGGAGTTATATGAAATAAACTTTATCATTATATTAAATTAAAATAGTGTAACTAAAAAATGAAATTTAAAGGAATAGCTAACATTAAATTTGAAATGAATGGTATGACTTAACTAATTTACTGGAAAGAATTATTCAGTGTGAACAAGCAAAAATGACATTAGATACCACTAAAGTATATGACACTATCTCCACCATATTTTGATCTCCAGAATGCTTTTGATAAGGTCCCTCACAAAAAGTTAACTTCTGAAATTAAAAGCTGTAGGATCCAAGGTATGTATGAATGTTAACTGAGAACTGGTTAATGAACAGAAAAAAATCATCTTAAAACTCCCATTTGGATAAAATGTAAGCAGTGGTGTGCCTCAGGGAACTGTTTAAGTTCTGTTAAGAACTGTTTATTGTTGTTTGTTATTGTTGTTCAATCTCAATATTTCAGATTGTGATATAGTTTATCGTACTAGTTACATTTGCAAATGACACAAAAGTATGGGTAGTGGCACAAGTAGAAATGTGGAAAGAGAGTTCCAAAGAGACTCAGAAAAATCATGGAGTGGGCAGGAATGTGGCAATGAAATTTAACATTAAGATGTGCGGAGTGAGTAGGAGCTCCACAGTAGGAGCAGGTATATACAGTGCCTTGCGAAAGTATTCGGCCCCCTTGAACTTTTCAACCTTTTGCCACATTTCAGGCTTCAAACATAAAGATATAAATTTTTT